CGATTCACGCACTTTACTTGCGACTTGATTCGATTATCTATCTCTATATCTCCTTATCTGCAATTATCTATGCCGTCACTTCTCCGCTTTATTTTCCGGACTTATATACTAAAATAGGGGGCGTCTGGCAAACACTCGGGCCTTCATGATCCTTCTAGAATCTCATGACGTGTTACCAGGGTCACATGACTTCCGCTGTCGTAACACTACCAAACACTGGTTTACGATAATAAACCGAATATACGAACATACAAAAAGCCAAAGTATTTAAATAACACCTCCACAACATCTTCAAAACACAAAACGACACTGATATGGACGACGACCACCAAAACCATGTAAATAATATCATTGAATAAAATAAAAATATATTCTCCCCGATTTTCCCTGTAAGCTTAACAAACCACACAACCTCAACGAGAAGTATAGACACACTGGACACAAATATCACAAGTGAAATAACAACAACCCAGATCTTATTACCAATAAAACATACCAACAACAAAGCACCTGGGGAAGATGGCACACAAGCCATATTACTATTTTTAAAAAAAGGCACTCAGCTGTTGAACGAACATCTAAAGACACTTTTCAACCTCTCCCTAACATTAGGGTTTATCCACGTTTCTTGGAAGCAAGTGAATATTCTCATGTTCTTAAAGGAAGGGAAACCAGCAAATAAACCACAGAGCTACAGACCAATCAGCTTGACCAACTGCGTAGACAAAATTCTCGAAAGAGAAATAAGCAACAGATTAAATATATATTTGGAAAGAAATTTAAAATTACCTGATGTGCAAAATGGTTTCGGGAAATTTCGACAAACCACTGATCATTTAGTTAGACAAACGAAAACCGTAATGGCTAACCTTAATAACAAGGAATGTACGGTCGTCTGCTTGCTCGGTCTAGAGAAGGTTTTCGACACCGTCTGGCACTCATTTATAAGATTTTGGGGGCTAGAGATGTAACTACCACAAGGTATGATTCGCCAGTTATCTAACTTCTTAGATAATAGAAAATGTCAGGTAATGAGGGCACCTACTCTGAGTATTTTACTCCTGAGGCAGGTGTCCCATAAGGAAGGTTAGTTAGCCCCATACTGTTCATCATGCATGTAAGCGACATACCACTGACCGATACAAATTTCTGTTATACCTCACACTTTGCGTATGATGTAGTAATCTGGAAGAGTTCCCACACGCTTTCCATGGCAGCCACGAACTTACAACCTGCTGACACGTCAGCGGGGGTCACGTGACGCTAGTAACACGTCATATTTTCGAACGTTCGTGAATGCTCGAGTGTTTACTAGATATGCGGTATTCATGTATATAAGACGCCATGAAGTGACGGCAACAATGGAAGGTAATTGAATTGCAGATAGAGACGACAACTGAGTCAAGCGCGTGAATCGTTCGCTCGTTGTGAATTATAGCGTTTGTTTAATTTATAGCGTGACTGTGGAAATTAAGTGTATTGCAAAGTTGTATTGAGAAAGAATAAACTAGTTTTATTTAAGAAAAGGACTTGTATCGCTAAAGTTTCTTCAGAAAGAATGTTTACGGAAAATTAACAAACGAACAGAGACGTAACACCGCGTTAAACGATATAGCAGAATACTGCCAAAAGAAAAGAATAAACATTTATATACCAAAGACACAAGTACTAGAACTTATAAAACTTAAAAATATTCTTAAAAACAAACCTGAAATCTATCTCCATGCAATCCTCCTCCAGACTGTTGCATCAACAAATTTTTAGGCCTCACCTATGATGCTAAATGAACATGACAAACACACATAAACGAAATTACAAACAAAATATGGAAACGAGTGAACTTGATCAGGTTAGAAGTCTGTCCGGAAAAAACCCAGTACATCACCCAAAAATAAAATAAAAATATAGAAACAGTATATACAGCCGGCAGTCGAGCATACCTGTCTGGCATGGATTAACGTAACACAAAGAAAAATCAAAACCAAACTACAAACATTATAAAACACTGGTGCATATAATATCCCACGCATAAAAAAACTCACATTTCTTACATTACTATGCAAATGTACAACCACTCTGTGACAGACTTGTAAACAAAACATACACATACATCCGTAAAAAATTACGTAAAAATTAAATATTACGTTCACTTGATCTCTATATCATACATGATGAAAATGAGTCTTACGTTCACTTGATCCCTATATCATACATGATGAAAATGAGTCTTACGTTCACTTGACCCCTATATCATACATGATGAAAATGAGTCTTACGTTCACTTGATCCCTATATCATACATGATGAAAATGAGTCTTACGTTCACTTGAACCCTATATCATACATGATGAAAATGAGTCTAAATGCTTCTCACCTATAAATATGTACTGTAAGTACAACAATCAGCCACCTGCTGCTAGACTTACCCAATATATTATTTGTGTAAAAAAGGGTATTTATGTCAACACATACTACAGATATTACAGAATTAATAAGCACTGGATTATATGGGACTGTTTGTGATATGTGAGACAGATAATATACCTAATGAAGAAAGGTGTATATCAGTGAATACTAAACGTTGAACATAAACGGACATGGTCCTGATAGGGGTTTTGTAATCATGCTAATGATATTACATGAAAGAAACACCTTGATTTATGAAATGTTCAGGAATTAATAGTGCTTCTAAAATACCAATGCAAGTGGGAGAAAGAGGTGGAAGCACCAAATCTCACCCTCCCAGATCCCAATAAAGAGAGAGAGAGAGTTTAATTCGAAAGAAAGAGGTCTTAATAGCACCTAACTTTCCCAGGTCGTGCACAATACGACCGAACACCAATCTATACAGACACGCACCGAGATATACCCCAAACAGTTTATTCACAAATACAGAGAACAACCTTATAACAGAAGTGTAGGAATATTACGCAACCAACTTAAGAGAAGTGGAAAAAAAAAAGCCCTAAATGCTGTGAGTTTATCATTCATGGACATGGCCGTGAAGAAGAAAATAGGATCAAGTAATCCAACTTAGTGTTCGAGTCATGATCTCGTGAAGTGATCATATAACATTTGTCAGTGAATACAGAAACCGCAAAGGAGGGAAGAAGAGGCCTAGACAGCAACTGACCCTCACAGGTCGCGAACACATGACCAAACGCTGACCCAGATCAGGCATAGGGTTCGATTCCATGTTGTAGATGGAACGCAGAGAGGCTTGTAGTTCTGAGCTAAAAGAGGCGTACAAACATTTATATTAGATCGCTCAAGAATAAAAGAAAGTTATTTGATTTTTGACAATGTCTTGGTATAGATTATCAATATCATTTTATCTAAGCGTTCCCTGTTAATTTTCGTAATTGTAGCTATTCAAATTTGATTTGGAAACAAACAAAATTGTTCGATTTAAAATTTGTTTGTAGTTAAGCACAAAGCTACACAATGGGCTATCTGTTCTCAGCCCACCAGGGGTATTGAAACCCGGTTTCTAGCTTTGTAAGTCCGCAGACATACCGCTGTGCCACTGGGGGGCGTCTTGGTATAGATTATCAATATCACTTTATCTAAGCGTTCCCTGTTGATTTTCGTACACGAGAAAGTAATTGTAGCTATTCAACTTTGAGTTGGAAACAAATAAAACTGTTCGATTTAAACTTTGTTTGAAGTTAAGCACAAAG